CCCACTTTGCACATCCTTTGCAATAAATCTTTTCCCTCCCAAATATGGAAAGCAATTTGTTGCTTTTCAGGCGTACTGTATCGATCCTGTGCCAACCAAAGACTTTGGTGATGCTTTTGGCCACAGTGTTTTTTTCTCCCTCCCAAGTGGAGGCTTTGGATTCTGCAAGGACAGTTAACTTAATATATGTTAAAAATGTACTATTTAGAAGAATTTAATTGTTAATTACATCATACTTATCCAAAATAGAGTATATGGGGTTTTACTTGAATCGTAAGATTAAATTTTTCGTACTATTTAATCTTTGATCGTTTTTAATAGCATTTGTAGTTTTTTGTAATACATTGCATTTTTTGCAATTTCATAATTAGTCATTAAGAGAGAACATTCACAACTGAACAACTTGCGGTATATTAGGCAAGCTTGTTTTCTTTCTGTTAATTGCATAAGGGGATTCCCTTTTGTTGCAGTGTTCAGATAAAACATTTCCTTTTTGTCTCAAAATGCATGATATTTTCAGGGATTCTCATACATGAATCTGTCACATGTTTTAGTACTAGACAGATCAAGTTACCTCAAAATCAACATAGGCATTGCATGCATGACTTCATGTTGCTTGTGCAATGCACAGTGACAAACAGGTTTAGCAAAGAGCTGTTGTGGTTTTTCTTGCTATTTAGTGTTTTGGGAGAAAATAAAATCGAATCAAAAGGGTCTTTTTCTCCTGGAGGCATTTAACCCCATTGTACCCTTAAAGAATCATGGCATGTTGGTGCTCTCTGAGTCTGTCTCTGGAATATCTTTCATTGTTTGAACTTAAGGCTGTTTTGGAGGGCTCGTGCCTCTTTGTATCCGCTCACATAATTTCTCAGCGCTTGATTACTGAATGTGTATTTGACGCGTGTTGTAAGCTGCGCCTCTCTCAGATCACATATCAGAGGGACGCGCGTCATTAAGGAGTGCATGTCGCCGCGCGACTGTAACAGTAGAAACTGCGCGCGCAGTCTGAATATGACAGGCTGAGCGCGTGCGGTCACGTTAATAATGAACAGATGCTGAAATATCACCGATATATGCATGCACGACCCCTGACCAGCTTGTGTTTGGGGAGGTTTCTTGGAATGTTCGTGTTCAGGATAACAATTTATGTTACAGTGTTTATCCTTTTTCTTCTTCTTCTTTATTTTTCATAGAAGTGTATAGTTTTTTTTTTTTTTTTTTAGATGACTGACGTTTAAAAAGCTATTCTAATGGCGCCAGAGGATATTTGCTCTGGGTGAGACGAACTTTGACAGATTGCGCCCCAAAAATACCTTTATATTTATAATCAGTCATTGAGCAGACTGTTAAAATTTGTCTACACATATCAGGCCTATACCGATATAGCACACATGAAACATATATGTAACACATTTTATATGGTGCTATAATATAAATAAGAACAAACGCGCTACAAAATGATGCAGCAATGCACTTCATTTAAATGCATTCTTATTGTTTATTAGAAATTAGCTATTAGTATTTGCTAGTAGTAACAGGCACACTGTAATGTAGTTATTGCATACGTGTGAATAATGAAAATATCCCGCTTTATTTTATGCGTTTAGGCTGTGTGCAACACATGTCAACATGTGCGTCTATTTCGACAAGAGTTACTCAATGCAACAGGCGGATGGAAGGCGTGAAAAGAGGAAGACACCTTCGCAATAGGTCTTTCGAGCAGATGTTGATGAAACATGCTAATGATCTTGAGATGTAGGATAATGTGCATATTTTTTTGCTCTCTTAGACCATTGGTGTGGGTGAGACTTTGACTTCCCTTCTAGGCTATGTTCACAATATTTCCTCACATGGAGATTAAAATAAACAGTGGTGTAACAGCAAAAAACGCTGCGATAACAGAAAAAAATAACAGACGGATTCTTGGCGTCTTGATGTTTTCGTGGAATTATAATAGCTATTAATAATAATAATAATAATTCAATAAGTCACTTCATTTAAATGCATTCTCATTGTTTATTAGAAATTAGCTATTAGTATTTGCTAGTAGTAACAGGCACACTGTAATGTAGTTATTGCATCCGTGTGAATAATGAAAATATCCCGCTTTATTTTATGCGTTTAGGCTGTGTGCAACACATGTCAACATGTGCGTCTATTTCGACAAGAGTTACTCAATGCAACGGGCGGATGGAAGGCGTGAAAAGAGGAAGACACCTTCGCAATAGGTCTTTCGAGCAGATGTTGATGAAACATGCTAATGATCTTGAGATGTAGGATAATGTGCATATTTTTTTGCTCTCTTAGACCATTGGTGTGGGTGAGACTTTGACTTCCCTTCTAGGCTATGTTCATAATATTTCCTCACATGGAGATTAAAATAAACAGTGGTGTAACAGCAAAAAACGCTGCGATAACAGAAAAAAATAACAGACGGATTCTTGGCGTCTTGATGTTTTCGTGGAATTATAATAGCTATTAATAATAATAATAATAATTCAATAAGTTTATTATTATTATTATTATTATTGCTAATAATAATAACAAGTATTATTATTATTATTATTATGCTTACATGGCTGTTGTTTTTTTATTGTTTATTAATTCTAATTATTAAACACATGTGTGTTTGTTTTGTTTTTGTTTGTTTTAATGTGTTGTTGTCTTCATGTAACCAAACGCTGGTTTCAAACTGAGCTCATCTTTAGCATGTGAGCCCGCAGAATTCTGGTACAAATCCTGCCAACACGAGTTAAACCTCAAGCCCAGTGCACACATATAACACTGAAACACACACTCCCTCTTTCCGTCACAGAATGAGCCAATAAAAGAACGAATACAAGCAGAATAAAATGTATTTAATGGCTGTTACGAAGTAATCGACTGTTAGAAATGTAAATTACTATTGTAAAGGCATTTCTGTTTGCTTTAAAGAAATGAGACATGTTCAATTGTAATAAATTATTTTATAAAGAAAACATTTAATATAATAATAATAATAATATTTACTCGATTTGTCTTGCGAATGGAAGAAATGTTTTTCTTTCTGACTGTATTTAGACTAAATGCTTTAGTCGTGCAGAGTGAAACTATTAAATTTAACTCAGAATTTAAAACTGCACATTTTTATATAATGTATAAATGTATGTAAATATTGTAAATAAATAAATAATTATTTTTGCAGTTGGGGCATTTGTAGAGAGAAAAGGCTTTTCTCCGTTTACTCACCTTAAACAGTTTGTTTAGGATTTGTTAATCAGTCAGTTAATTAATTTGATTCTTTGTCGTGTTCATAGCGTCAGTTTTAGTGCGCGTAGGCACATTTATGTATCATCATCAATAACCATCAAAAGAAACAAACAAAAAAAACTGATGAAATCCACAGAAAAAGATGAATTCATTCAGATAACCAGCTGTAACTGTGAGAATCGCTTTATTTCAGCACATTTATGTATCATCATCAATAACCATCAAAAGAAACAAACAAAAAAACTGATGAAATCCACAGAAAAAGATGAATTCATTCAGATAACCAGCTGTAACTGTGAGAATCGCTTTATTTCTGCCTCTCTGTTTTTTTTTTTGTTTCAGTCTGTCTCCCTCTCTCTGTCGTTTTCCTTCTCATTTAGTGTTAGTTTAATGCGCTTTAATTCGCTTTCCGAGGCGCCACTGAAGGTTTTTAAACGACAAATGCGCCTACTAGTGGTGACAGTGTGAGCTCAGGGTGTGTCAACCACACAAGAAATCATTAGATTCTAATTAAATACCATGTATGAGACTTATAAAACCATTATCATAATTATTGTTGTTCTGTTATGATTGAGCAAAACCATTAGTTATTCGAAAATTAATTTAGCACAAGATGCATGGGAGATAGACTTTAATTTACCACTTTAATTTTTTTCCTGTGCAAAAATACTTGTTTAAATGTTATTACTGTTTGAACGATGCTTAATTGCTACAGTTTTTAACCTAATTTGTTTTTGAGGGATAATTGTTGCCTTAACAATTCATGTTAATTAACTGTTTCTGGATTGCTCAATGCATTATTCATTTTTTTTACAAAAGATAAACTGGCACACAGACATGAATAACTTCAGTAAAAGATATTTAAATTTTTGTCTGTGGTTTTTAAAGGTTACACCTGGCAGACTCTAAACCTTAATGTGAGGAGAGGATTGAAATATTTATTGATTGTTCATTAAGTATAAGGCTGATAATAGAGGAGCTTTCAGTTTTGCTTCGGCGCGTTTGATGGGCGCGTCAAACCCAGCCCTGTTCGCGGATTGGTCGATTAAACCCGGCCCTGATCGCTGATTGGCGGAGCGCTCAGCGCACTCCAGGCTATAATGAGATGAGTAAATAACGCTTGTCTGCAGAGCGCAGAGCGCAGCTTTTACAGGCACGTACGTCTGACTACCACAAACTTTTTTTCTTGTTTAAACTCACTTTCACGCTTAAACATTCAATTGGAAGCAGAGCATTTGACAACTAAGCCGGACTTTATTGCAGAAGTTCTTCTGAAACTGTGGGATTAATTTGTGTGGACTTTATTTTCAGAGACTCTGGACTGATAGAACGGAAAGTGTCGCTCTGACTAAAAGTAAAACTGACATCCAGGAGCAGCACACACCTGCTGTACACACTCTGGAATAAATGCGGTTTAATAAGCAGCTTTAGAATAATAGTTTCATATGCTTTGAGAAGCATACTTGTATCAGTTTTGTGCTTTGACTCCAAATTCCTTTCATCGTGCAGAACGAGAGCGTTCGAGCGCGTATGTGTGTGCTTGCGGTTTCTTGGTTTTTGCTGAAGTCAGTGGGAAACTCAAGCGCACTTGAACGCTTCTGCGTCCTGCACCGAAACGCAAAGTAAACGGTCACGGAGGAGTTTTCCGAGGCCACTATCACGGACTTTCTGTAGGCTACTTACCCCATTTGGGTGCCTGAGCTCTTCACGGGGGTCTCATTTGTAATCTGTTGTGATGCATATTCCCGTAGACCCGAGCACGAGCAGACGGTTCACGCCGCCCTCCGCCTCGTTCCCGTGCGCTAAAGTGACCGAGAGCCCGAGCATGAACGCTCCGGGTCCGCTGCGGGCCGGCCGGCCGGTGGAGAGCCGCTCCGTGGTGGACGTGCTGGCGGATCACGCTGGAGAGCTGGTGCGCACCGACAGCCCCAACTTTCTCTGCTCGGTGCTGCCGTCACACTGGAGGTGCAACAAAACCCTGCCGGTGGCTTTTAAGGTAATTAAAACATTAATTTCTGTAAAATAGCTAGTTTCATAGCGTTGTCCGTTAAATCACAAGTCAGTCAGAACGCGGCAAGTAAACAGAAGTCGCGCTCTACTGAAGAGATAACCATAGCAACGGTAGGCTGCGCGAGCCTTTTCCGTTAGAATCCAAAACAAATGGTACAAGCAAACGGTAAGTGCTATCATTATTAATCGCTTCTGATATTTATATATCATAAGTTCATTAAAAAAAACATGTTTTACAGGTAGAGTGAAATAGTTGACGTTTGATTCGTCAAAAGTCAAATCGGTGGCGGGAGCCATGCTCACCACAGTTCGTGTTTTGGAAATTACTGACAAAAAATCCTTTAAAAAACCCACTCACATAAAAGTCACCGAATAATTAAAACACTTGCATTTTTTTTTTCTGATATCATCGTAACATACTTCTGCTGGACTGATAATATAGAAGATAATATAGAAGATAAAAACAAAATATTGATCACGTCAGTGACAATTCGACAAGACATTGTACGGTCCTTGAATTCTATTATTATTATTATTATTATTATTATTATATAATAATAATATTATTATTATATGCCTATTATTATTATTTAATTTGAAAAGAGCTGTTATAATGATCACCGCGACAATGATAGGCTACTCCGGTTATAATGTTTGCGAAAAAAAATACTGTTAGGCTATATGCAATTATTATTCATATCTAAATTGTATTTATTTTTATGTTTAGCATATATACAAATCACAACCGTGCACTTGCAGCAAACGTAAGCTAATTTAAATAAAATTGCTAAAATTGAAGAAAAAAGGCTTAAATTGGTTAGGAAATTAGGCTATTTACTCGCGGAGCAAATCATAAATATTTTATGTGCTTATAAATAGAACAATATTAACAGTAATCGTCAATATATGTACGAGCAAACTTATATTGTAATGATTATTGCGGGGGTTGCAACCCGGGTTTGTTTGGTTTGGGGTTTGTGTGTGTTGTTGATTGGGTTTGTTGGGTTGATCTGTGTGTTTATCAGGTGGTGGCTCTGGGTGACGTTCCTGACGGGACTCTGGTCACGGTGATGGCGGGAAATGATGAGAATTATTCCGCGGAGCTGAGAAACGCGTCTGCCGTCATGAAGAACCAGGTGGCGCGATTCAACGACCTGCGCTTTGTGGGCAGGAGCGGCAGAGGTGCCACATCTATCAATCTGTTTTGCTGTCTGTCTGTCTGTCTGTGGTCAGATGCATGCAGGCTATGTGATGGAAATGCAACAACATATTTATACTATATTGCGATAAAAAATAAATTATATTTTTTCTTCATGCAAGCACAATTTGACATTTCTAAATTGTCATACGTTTAAACTTAAACACTTAAGCTGCAGTATTGCACAGTGGAGACTGGAAAAAAACGGGCACATATGCCAGCATGCTTCAATTACTTGTCCCAGAGAAATAATTTCCCCACAGCAGAATTTTTCTTAAAAGATTTGAGGTTTAAAAAAACCCATCTTGTTTACACACCTAAAAACACCCTAACTCTTACATAGCTCACATTCTTTCACAAGCTTTTCCTTCTCGTCTTTTTCCTTTTGGCCTCGCTCCTCGCACTCACATTTTTCCTGTAAATGTTACACTTTAAATAGTTGCAGACGGATGAGTGGAAAGCGCTGCAGTGTGCGAATTAAAAGTACCTTTCATTTCTGCAGTCAATTACCCCACCCTCATAGCCCTCATACAAGCCACGGCTTTCTCCCCTCAAAGCGCAGCTTCATTGCATTTAGAGATCACACACACACACACACACATGCACACAGACACAGCGGAGTCCCGGGAACAATCTGGAACACATTGTCTCACTAATCCACATCATAAACGCATTTGAAAGCGCATCAAAGCAGTAGTGCTGTCTCTTTTCAGAGGAAACTCATTCATTTCTCCCAGCTGTATGTGACCCACCTCACTGAGATTGTGCATCGAATCTTTACTTCATGCAGCCTGAGGGAGTTTCTGTTTTACCTGAGGGCTTTTCTGGTATATAATCAACTTTATGTAATGTAGTAATTTTTCACAACTGAAAAGAAAAAAGGTACAAAGCTGTCAGTTGAGCTGTGGCCTAAGGTACAAAAGCTAAAAGGTACATTTTTGCACCTTATTTACCCCTAAATTGTATATATTATTACCTTAAAGGTACATATTGGTGCTTTAAAACTTACTTCAAAAATACACATATTTTAATACCTAAGGTGTACAAAGTATTGTACCTTTTTTCTGAGAGTTTACTTGATTGTTTTAGTGTCAACAGCACTCAAGCTACATGAATGAAACTTGATGATCATGTTATCCAACATGATTTTAGAATGTTCATGTTTATATTTCTGGTATTAAAAGTATTTGTCTGTGAATCATGCAATAACTTTTCAAACCAGCGAGTGACATTTTATCCTGTGTCTTCTTGTCGTCCTCAGGAAAGAGCTTCTCTTTGACCATCACTGTGTTCACTGGACCACCCCAGGTCGCCACATTCCACCGCGCTATTAAAGTCACTGTGGACGGACCTCGAGAACCAAGACGTGAGTACCCAGAATCCCCTGAATGACTATCAAAAAGAGCGTTGACCAAGGTTTCCAACAGCACCAACAATGATAACATTATCTTGCACTGGTATCCACCTCTTTGGATGACATTGTTCTGCATGAACTCAAATGGTTTGTTTTATATAGAGTACTTTATCAGGAGCTGTGTGTTTCTTTGTGCATGAAACCAGCATAGAATACAACAGAAAGAGGCGCTGTCTGTTTTATTGATTTATCGTCTGTGTATAATTTCATGCTCACAACTCTGGTAGAAAAGCATTTCTTTTGCGGTGTTTGATAGCTAGGGAAAGTATTTGAGGAGGTGATACGAGATGAGATAGTCTCTCCTTTGTGTCTGCTTTATACCGTGATATTTACTGCAGTAAAAACCAGGCTGAGCAGTCTTTAGAACATGTGCCAAGTAAAACAGATTAGTTAATCTGTTGGTTCCTGGAGTTTTTCTTACTGTATTAGAGCTAGGAGGTTGATCATTGCACACTACTCTTGATAAATCGGTGAATGTACGTAATGGTTTTGATATTATACTATGTTGGGATGGAGTATTTGGACGGTGCGACGAGTATTTGAACTATTTTCGGAGCACCGACGGCTTTAGTAGTCCTATGAGTCATTCACAGATGATACCGGGGAGTAGAGCCACTGTGTGTGTGTGTGTTCCCAAATAGTACAGTGTATTTTTGTGAGTAAGTGTTGGTTTCAATGTCTCCTTGTATTCTCGTGTTTGGGTGTATACATACCTGCACATCAGCGTGTGTTAATATTAAACAGCGAACAGTCCTTCGTGGTCTAGATGGTTGCCAACCTCAGATGTCAGTTGTGGTGTGTTATTAAGCCGTTTCGGGAGCAGAGAGCGAGGGTGCGTCTCTGAGCCACAAACACAGAGGGCTCAATGAAAGTGGCCGCTCTTTCTGACCAGTGGGGTCAGCAGTGCCTGACCGCATTAGAGCCGCTGAATTAACACAGCACTGAACGCCTGCTAGGGGTGCAGATCCATAACGCTAATGCAGCCCGCGACCACAACAAGAGGAGACCAGAGAGAGAGAGAGAGAGAGTGAGAGAGAGAAGAGTAAGTCAGTGCCGCTGTTTACAGAGCTGTTGTTGTATTTGTTCAAACACTAGCCCCAAAAAATACTTTGGAAACTGTAATGAATTTATGACTGTCATTGCACTCGATTTCAAATCAAGCACAGGTACACTTTTCAAGCGAAACAGCAGTTTTGTTTGGTTTGAAATGATAAGTAAATAGATCTAGCGTACCTGAAAAGACAGTTTAGGAAGGTGATGTTGAGTGAACCTCATAAAGTCTGTCAAGAATATGCCCAGCTCATATTTCCAATTTTAAAAAAGTAATAAGAAATTATATTTAGCTTAAAGAAAAAGCCTACTTTTAGGAACAATATTTATTTATTTAAATATTATTTTTTGACAGCTTAGCACACCCCACTGCCAGTTCTCATGATTTAATGCAATATATATTGGTTTTATTATACATAAATTAAGTTATTATTAATATAAGTTAATTTAATTTATATATATATATATATATATATATTGTAAATTTGTATTCATGAAAACATCATTTGTTGCATTGCCTAATTTGTGCTAGATCTTAAAGAGCTGTATTGAAGTATTTTTGTTACTGTATTACAGAAATAAGAACTTATTTTGAGAGAAGATGTGTTTGTATTAAATAATGCAAAAAATCCTAATGACCCTAAAAATAGGCTTTATTTTCTTTCTACATTTTTGTCTTTCTTTTGAATGTTTGAAATGTGACCTGGACATGTTTTTGTTCTGTAAAAAACAATCTAGCATTACGTGAGCAAATGCCACTTGTTTTGATATTTAATAAATTGCAATGACATGTAGTAATGCAAAGTATATGCAAAAATCCCTTTTGGTTCAACATTTCCTGATTTCCTCATGCATGTCATATTTATCATATTGGCTGAATGACGCTTGGCCTGTAATGACTCTTTAGAGGCGTTTCCTGTAGCGACCCGGGTCACACTGCCGTACCTGTAGCCTACGCTCACTCAACTAGCACTAATGAACACGTGCTTCAGACGCGATACAGTTTGAAATGATGTGTGAGTGAGCGTGGTTTCAACGTGGTTATGGTGGTGCGGTTGCATTAGATTTTGAGTATGTGAAATTACTTTAGACCCGCAACGAATATGAGATACAGGATTTGAGATGTTTTTAATAAACAATACGTTTTAAATATTAAATGATAATGTGACGTGTAGAAAAAAAGTGTACACTGATCGTCCCATCATGCTGAATACTAATGTGTGTGATAGATTGAAGTCTTTGAATTCACTGCGTTGTTTATTTGCAGTTTGTGTGTGAATATGCGCTGGAGTGTGTGTGTGTGTGTGTGTATTCTGCTTTTGTCAGATATGTTGTATTGATGGTATCTTTTATAAGAAAAACCACACCCTCTTCTCCCCCAGGCACGGGCTGACTGAGGCAGTATGTGTACTTTGATAGTGCTGCCAATAGAATAATACCTCATTAATGTTTACTTACAGAGTTGATAAACCTGATGGACGGGACCCCACACACACTCACATGTTGGGTTTTTATGTTTTATGGGGACTTTCCATAGACATAATCATTTTTTCGTATTCTGTACAAACTGTATATTCTATCCCCTAACCCTCACAGAAATCTCTGCATTTCTACATTTTAAAAAAATCATCATTTAGTATGATTTGTAAACCTCATAGGGACCAAAAAAATGCCCTCAACATTTTGTCCTCACAACATAGGGTTTACCTGGACCATATATGTATAAATACAACAGACCTAGAAAGTTTTCGGATAATATAGTCACAATTAAAAGATTATTGGAGTGCGTTTTACAGGAAAATATAATTTTAGCCTCTCTACTTCACAATTTCATGTGTAATTTAACATGTAACTTGCTGTTTCTTTGTAATTATTTGTGAAATTTACTAGGAATTTCTGAGCGAACATTGTTTCAGAGTAAATACAACACCAATTTTTTTTAGTGTGTATACATGTCATTCCCTAACAACCTGTCAAACCAAGCGGCATTCATTTTAAAGATGCAAGCACACTTATCAAGCAAAACATCACCAGCTGGTTTAGAAGTCATTGCAAAAAAGGCTCCAAAAAGTGAAGATAGTTCTGAGAAAAGCTTATGCGGCAATTGAATTGAAATTTTCATTGAGAAGAGAAGAGTCGAGATTATGGGCAGGGGTTTCGGGTTCGACTGTATTTGCATTTTGGCACACAGCTCGTAGAGGGCATGTAAATCTGTTAACAATATCATTTGCTGTGTTATTTTTCCACAGATATCACTCTGTGTTTCTGTAAATAAAGGAGTGTACATGCATACATTAGTATGTGTGTGTGCGTGTAAAACACCTGCCAGGTGTTTCATCCATTCAATAAATAATGCATGCCGCACCCATAGATATGAATGCATAGTTCTGCATATTGCAGATGATATCAAAACGACTCATTTAAGATTTTGCTTTCCTTTGGGAGGATAAAAATCTTGCATGTGTGTGTGAGTGTTCTGCACATTTTTAATGGTGGAATCATCACACTAATGCTATTAACAGTCATTCTGTTATGTGTGCATCATAAGAACGCTTCTTCAAAGCAGCGCTAACGGCGAGTGGCAGCTTTCGTCACCGCTGGCGCTAAATATGAATGGAGCCAATATCGGACGGCAAATGAATGGAATGCGTTTGAAAAATGAACAGACGATTCATTACAGCGCAAACGCATGCAGTGCAGATTTAACCATTGGATGTGCGCAGTGCTGCTTTAGCATGCATGCAATGAATCCTTGCTGATACTAGAGGGCAAGCCTCAAAAAAGTGTCTTTGAGGATGTAACCGATGATTCTGTCCTCTCATTATCTTCACCTCCCGGTCATATTTTCTTTTCTTTGAGGGATAAACTCAACAAAGGATGACAAGAGAGGAATGGAGTATCTACACCCCTGCACAAGTCACACACATCTTACAGGCTCAACTTGTGTTTGTGAACTTCCTTGTTTATTCTTTCACCCAAGCAGACACCATTAGCAGCTTTAAAGAGTAATTGAATAAAGTAGCATAATAAAGCACCTCACAGTCCATGATAAACATCTGAGAGGCATCGAGTAGGAGAGGGAGACAGAAAGGGGAGGGAGGAGTGTTACGGGAATATTATAGTGAATCATCTGTTTATTTTTCTGCCATTTTTAACAGTGAGGAAAATTCTGCAAATAGCCTAATTGAAGAAGCGAGATGTGCCCAGACTTCCAGTAACAGACACACACACGCCGAGCTTGTTGGGAAAAGGAGATTTTCTCTTTGTCAGAGCATAGTGTTTCAGCATTTTAAATGGGTCATATCATGAGGAATCAATTTATCCTTGATCTTTTGAGATGAAAGACTTCATTGTGTCATGAAAAATGTCACTTTTCAAGCTCTACATTTTCTGCTAACATATCTTGCTTTCGCACTTCCACAGCTTTCTGACGTCAGACAGACACGTTTGACCATGACCGCCGTATGCTAATGATGTCTGTTTGATTTTCAGAAACTTGACCCATCTGGTGATGGCAAGATAATAAAGAGGAAGTAGAATAGATACTATTATTTTTAAATATGGGAAGATCTAAAGATAAGATTAAATGTAGGAAAGTCTGTGAAATTCTGCAGATCATTCTGAAGAATCCCAATATTAGAAATGAGCATCTGAATTTATTTTCAACGAAATCACTGATCTGAACAGTTTAAGCAAAACATTTCAGTGCAGATTGTCTTGCAAGAAGTAAAATGTTTCTTATTTCACATGTGCAGAGGACATTTACATAGATGTTTTAAAGACACAAAGATATAGCAGGTGCATAATCGTCAAGACTAAACTAAATTTTATGTATATGTAAAATTATAATATTATTTTATAGATTATTATAAATTTATATATAAAATTATATAAAAAATAAG